TCGTCATAAAGAAAATTACGAAAGCAACCGCACCTTTCAAACACCGGTAAGTTCAAGCAAAATTTGATATTTTCCTGACCTACTTCGTGTTGCACGTGATCTAGCCCTGACCTTTGAATAAAATAAGCATTTTGATTGGTTCCTATGTCGGAATGCTGTTTTAATAACTACTACCGATTGCTTCATCAAACAATCGTGGCAATGCATGTGCATGTACATTCTCATTATTAACGCACATCATGTACATAGAGAAATTTCAAGCACATGTTAATATATTGCCACCATGTTGGTTTTCGGTTATCTAGACGCTTTTTGGCAAACCCCTAGACCGGCAACATAGCCAGGTTGAACTGTATGTCTACTTTTAAATTTTTTTTCAGTGCCATAAAAAAAACCAATGAAATCCTACCTGGATGTGTTTGATAGTTATTGAAATGGAAGATGCACTCAATGAATGGATGAAAAAACATGGTTGGATGTTTCTTCAGCAGCAGATGTTCAAGACAGAATTCAGCTAAAATTAGTTGGATTAAACAACAGTGTGCATGAAACCGAGACGAATAGCTTTTTCAGTGAAAATAACTACATTCAAGTTTCTCTCACCAATAGAATTCTTATGTGGAAAAAAATCAAAGTTCTACAGGAGAAAAGAACATAAGCAAAAACAATATTTTTAAACCTATATTTAACATAAAGAATGCTTGGACAAAAAAACATGTAAAATTTGTCTCCCTAAAACTGCAGCCAATTCAATACAAATCCTGTTATCATCGATTGTAATTAAATTATCCACACCTTTTTGATAGCTTCTGGCTTTGTGTAAGCATAGATTTAATTATAATTCCACAAAAATTATGTTAAATTTTTATATTAGCCAGAAAATTTAGTAATAAATGGATGCTTTGTTAAAAATGTACTTTGAGCTTTGATTTATTTTTTAGATGCGTTTCTGGTGGAAAGCTTCTGATTTATAACAGTCGGTGTGAATGAAGGCTTGCTATGGCATATCACTCATATTGACAATCTAAATATTATTTTAGTCTCACCTAAATCCTTGATCTCTGGGGTCTCATCTAAAAGTGTTGTGATATAACGGAAAAATAAGACGCCTTTCCATTTTATATATTCTTCCTGGAAAATAATGAGGCAGAAAAAAAATTATCATTTAAAAAAAAAAAAAAAATGTTGAAGATATTTCCAAGGCTGAAAAATACATTAATTTTTTTAAATACTGTTTTTACCATATTAACAAGGATTAGGTACACTACCTACCTGTAACAGTCTGGTCAAAATGGTAAGTGTGTTTTTCCTGACAAGAGCAGATGGGTCCTTTAAGCATACAGCCATGTTGGTGACATAGCGATCAACCAGAGTAGTGTACCTGAAAGTAAATGTGTTCAGAGAGTTACAGAGCTGGTATATTATTAGACTAGACAAGACATAATCTATTAGGAGCTTTTGGAACAAGCACATTACATAATATTCAGTTATAACAAGTTTAAGGGATGTTTCCCCAGCTTACAAATATGGCATGTCAGTAATATATTTATACCTTATTGTCAGATCTCCCATGACAATAACCACATTATTCCTTATTGCTGGACTGTCAGACTCTTCCAGCTCTCTAGCTAGTGCAGCAATGGTTTTCTTTGCAAGTGATTCATCCACAAGGCACAGCTTACCTGAAATAGTAAAATTAATGGGGTGAGTAACAGTAATGGTGTGAAATGTAAAGAAGCATTTTAAAGTTGATATCAGACCTGTTTACCCTCAAACTCCTGAAATCGTACAATATTGCCTCAAAATCGCAGAATATGGTATCTTAATAGTAAATAAATAAACATCCAGTATATATAATGTATAAAATAACTAGCTTAGCGTGTCCAGTGGAATCGAGTTAAACTGGCGTAAAAAAAAAAAAAAAAGGAAATTAAAGTAAACAGTAGATGACTGACGTTAACTGGGAAACTGCGGTCACTTTGTTTTGCAGATGTGTATCAGCCATCGCTATAAAATAATATTTAGGTGAAAGTGCAGATCACATTATCACAGTCACTGCAAAAATAAAGTTACTGGTGAAATTTAACGTGGTTCAAACTCGAAGTCAGATCAGCATAAAATAAAATGTATTTTAATAAGAATTAATGACACCTTAAAAAATTGGGGCATCATTAAAAAAAAAAGCAACAACCTGCCAAGTAAATTGAGATTTATTTTTTAGGAAAAGCTGTTTTTTTTAAAAATAATAATAATTATCCATTATGCCTAATTCCTGATAACTAACTGATGTCTGATAACGACCACAAACTGTAAATGGGTGAAAGGTAGAGGGGTATTAAAAATCGTAAAGCTGTTTTGTGCGTTTTATCAATTTCAAGGCCCTC